AAATCAAAGCAGACCAATTAGATATTTTATAAACAGGTAAAATATTATATATATTGATAATCTTGCAGTGATTACCGGCCCAAAGATACATAATCACCAACTTATATTAATTAAATTTTTTTATTTAATCCATAAATTTAATTTATTTCAATAGATTTTACACACTTGAACTTATGACAGGTCGACTCGTTATAACCATTTGAGGTTTGAAAAATTTTAAAATGAAATTTATTTTTTTTCAATTTTATTATTTTTGTATTTAATTTTAAATCTACATCCTTAATTTAATATTCTCTTTTCTTTTCTTGTATTTCTTATTCTTGTTTAGGATTCTGAACGTTTTTCTTGGAAATGTTAATTTCAAACCTGTTTAAAGAGTTGTAATTACTTTTAAAAATACAGATAATTACATAAAAAAATTGTTCAGTTAATACAACTACAAACAAGGCTCTTGATTTTAAGATCTTAAAGTCAAGTCTATCTCCCTTGTTCTTTGTCTCCTTTTTTTTTCAAAAAAAAAGATTAGACTCTATCACTCTGTTAGGATGAATATTGTAGAATAAAATGATAGATCTATAACAATCTAACAAATGTTAATTAAAAAAAATTCCTCGGAATATTATAATTGCTTATCATTTCACTATTTTACAAACACAAAAAAACATATCATGAAATTAAGAAAGACACAATATTCTATCGTACTCAAATTCAGTGATCTCAGACATAAGCATTATACCAATGCTAAAAAGGGCACTTGATTTATTTATAGATTGTTGAATTTGATTCAATGCCATTCATTAAAAAAAAAATTGATTCCATGACATATAGAATTTAAATGGAAAGGAAAAAAAAAGAGATGAACATGGGCGTTCAAGTAAACTAGAAAAAATAATCAATTAAAAACTTGTTAATTAGGTAGATTAGTGACGGCTAATAAAATACTAATTAGTGGCTGGCTCCAATCCAACTAGGTTATTCCTAGTGTTCATGGACAGTGGTGGTAGCACTTGGGGCAATCAGTCTTTCGCTTTAAAAAGAGCCGCCTCTTCCCTTTCAAAGATCCCAAAAGCCACCAGCAGCATCTCTTCAAGTAATATCAACACCACCTCTTCTCTACAACATCGTACTCTCCGCCTCATCTGAAGAAACCTGGCCACCCCACCAAAGTAAGCTCCTTTTTCTCCCTAGTGTTAGGTTATTTTTCAGTGGTTTGATTCTCTTTGAAGTTTATGTTGTTTTGCTTGGTTCTATTTTTTTTTAATGTGATGTAGTTCTTGATTCTATGGAATCTGTGGGGTATGTAAAATGTCTGTGTCTTTCTGACAGTGGGAACCTCTCTCTCTCTCTCTCCCCCTCCCTCCCTCCTGTATCTTGTTTTGGTCGACAAGAACAAAACAAGTTTGAGTCTTTAATCAATTTGTGGTTCCTGTTTTTCGTTTTGTTTTCTAAATATTGAGGTTTAATGGAAAGGAAAATTACTGAAAACAACATCTTATTAATAGCCCTTTGATTTGTTTGACGTTTTTTTCAAGCCACTCGCTTGATTCTTAATTCTTACATGTTTCATTAAAGTTCTTTTATGATTTTTTAACTAGTTAGGTCTAGGATATTCGGTTTAGTCTTCAAATGGGTGACATTTTGGAAAGAAAGGGAAAATTGAGAAGCTGGGTTTGGAAGTTTAACACCAGTAGTGTTAGGAGTCAATCAATTGGTGAAAATGAGAGTTTTTATATTTTTATTGCGCCTCAGCCTTGTGATCAGGGCTTATTTGGGCTGTGAAAGCTCTAGTCTAAAAGTTTATTTTTTTTACTCGCTTTGCAACGAAAAGGAACCATCTTGCTAGCTGATCTTGCATTGTTTGTCGTGGAGCTAATTCTTGTGTATTGTTCCTGTGTTTTCCGGAGCTTGCTGCAAATTATGTTTGTGTGTACATGCTAAGCTGAGAATGTTTTGAATCTGGGTTGCCTATGATATCAAGTTTTTCTAGTTCCTTTATTACTGCTAAACTTCTTTAGCAATTAGCATTCTAACTAATTTTATGAACTTCGATTTACAAAAGAGTAGGGGATTGTTATTTTTCTTTCTTTCCAAGAATGAGTAGCTAATCTTGGCTTTTACTTCCTTTATGTTATCTTTTATAAGATGGAGCCTCGAGTGAAGAGCGGAGAGCCATTAGCTTGCTCTTCTCATAGTGCTCCAAAAATCAAATGCCTTCTCATTGTAGGAATGGATTATTTGGTTCCATTTTGTTGTGAATATAGGTGAGGCATACACTGCTACCCTGTTGTATTTAAATATGATGTGATTGTATGCTTGAAGGTATTTAAGAATCCATGGGCTAGGAGCAGGGAGCCTTTTATTTTTATTTTTTTAACTTGTTCTTAGGATTTCCTTGCTCAATACTTTTGAATTTTGATCAATGCTGCTTTTCCTGTCAATAATGATGCAGCTTCCTTAGCATGTCTGATTCGTTTTGTTGTGGTGCTATACAAATATGAAAACCTCCAATGAGATGGCTGTTGAGTGACACTGCCAATGAATGATTCAACAGTGGCTTTTATAAAATGGAATTTGGTACCTTGTCCTGCAATTTATTTCTTGCTGTAGGGTGACAAAAATTAGGGCTTTCAAATTCCATGCAAAAAGAATGGAACCATTCGATTCTTACAAGTATCAAAACATCTTATTAACCAGCTGACAATTTCTATTTTGTGTTCTGGAGTTAAGATGACAACAGTGAACGCTCCCTTCCAAAGCGTGGTCAAAACTGCACTCCAAAATCGGTTTACCAGCGCCATTGTCAAGAGCCCATCCTCACTGGGATCAGTAAGGAGTGTCGCTAAGTCATTTGGCTTTAAATGCTCCCCCAATTACAAAGCATCAATGGCAGTGTACAAGGTTAAGTTGATTACACCAGAAGGCACAGAGCATGAATTTGAAGCTCCAGATGACGTGTACATCCTAGATGCTGCTGAGAATGCAGGAATTGACCTGCCTTATTCTTGCAGGGCTGGGGCTTGCTCTACCTGTGCTGGGAAGGTGGCATCAGGTTCTGTCGACCAGTCTGATGGTTCGTTCCTCGATGAGAATCAAATGGGGGAGGGCTATCTTCTGACATGCATTTCCTATCCAACTTCTGACTGTGTGATTCACACTCACAAGGAAGGTGATCTTTACTGAGGGCTTTTGCAGTCAGAAATCGGAATTGACTTGGAATGTAGTTCTGTGATTGTTATGGATCATTGAAATGATGGTGAAGGCTGTCATAGACCTTTATTTCTGTAGGGATTTCGTCTTTGTTGTGTAATTCCAACATGGTTTCTTCTACACGGTACTGTAGTAAATAAATAGATGTTGCAATTGATTTCTGAAGTTTTCAGGGGTAATCTAAATCTAATTCACTCTTAACTCTCAAAGTTGAAACTTGCAAGCATGGCTGCAAAGTTGAGAAGGGGACAGCTACAAGGTAGATGCAAGGCAAGAAAACCAACAGAAACCAGTATTCATGCATAAGCAAAAGTAATATTGGGGTTTCAGTGAAATAAAGAATGGGGCATGGCCACTTCCAAAACATACAATGTTTGGGCTGAGCTGTCTTTATGCCCTTGGGATGGATAAAAAGGTTGTTTCCATGGTCGACTTGTACTCATGTTATCATAAGCCTAGCCCAGGACATTCAAGAGATAAAACGAAACTGAATATATTTTAAAGAGTCATATTAGATTTTAAGCTGCAAACAAATTATTCTCCTGCCACTTTTCATCAACAAACAAGAGCACATTTTGTATAGAAAAGATTGTAAATATCGATTAAAAGAGGCGAAAAAAATTGAGGCATGAAACCCTTTTCCTCCTTTGGTCAGAAAGAAAATTATAGTTGCTTTGTCTTTGAGTACTTTTGCTATGGTTTTGTAACAGTTCTTTCTCCATTTGTAAATCTTGTCAAAAACTAGAATAGAGGGCATATCGAGACAAGTGCTTGTGGCCAGATCAATTGGACTCTAGATACGAATCATGCAGAGCAACCCTTGCAATCAAAAGATAGCAACCACCCTGAAAAAAAAAACATATGAGGTTTTGCTCCTGAATCATTAAAAACAAATCTAGGAATTGATGGAATCAGGGCCTTGGAAGTAGAGCTAGGGATTCAGGGGGTGTTTGATGGTTTAACCCCTTGTCGCCAAAGGGAAAGCACACACCTCCTTGGTTTTGATTTGAGAAACCAGTGCCTTCATATCCTCATGGAGGGAGGCTGCTACCTAGCACCTCTGTTGTGTTTGTGGTTTCTCTGTCCCACATCGAAACGTTTTGCACAAAAGAGTGCAGACGCACAGTATAAAAAAAGAAGCATGAAATGTTATGAGGCATACCTTTCTCGGCCTTTTGGCTAAGATCAAGTGTAGTATCTGTTCTTATCAGTTTAATATCTGATACGTGGGCCAATGGCCCACACGATATTAAATTAATTTTTTAAGGGGGAGGGCCTGTTATAGTAGCTTGCTACTGGGGTTCTCAAGCGTCGCCTTTGCGTTGCACTATTGCATGGGCCTGGCGCGCCCCTCCAATTGTAGTTAAAAACGTTCCGTGTCATCAGCACCCAAGCAGCCATGTTATCAGCACTCAAGCAGGACAGGTTATGTGAGGTAGTCCAGTTTTGAGAATAATAGAGTTGGGCTTTTCAGAGTTTTGGGCTTTCACCACTAGACTACCTCACATAACCTATGGAAGCAAAAAAAATCTTGCTACTGGGGTTCTCAAGCGTCGCCTATGCGTTGCACTATTGCATTGGCCTGGCGCGCCTCTCCAAATTTAGTTAAAAACGTTTCAAGTTATCAGCACTAAAGCAGGACACAGGTTATGTGAGGTATTCGAGTTTTGAGACACTTTTCAGAGTTTTGGCTTCCATCATTTCTTGTTAGGTATCTCTCGTGGGTTTATTGTATTTGTAGCCCACGGAGACGATGGGCCCGTTGCATGGGGGGGCAATATGCTCTACGGATTCTGTCATTGTTTTCGAGTATTTTGCTGAAGCCAGAAGCCTGCATGTACAATCTCATGATTATATATTATCAATTGTGATTTAGGTTATTAGACCTTCATATCAACTTGGGTCAGTTATGGGAAACCCCTAACGTACAGGAGAAACAGAAACTTGCTCAGAGCTCACAAAACGATAACCCACCACATTGTCTACTAAATCACTTATTGCGGCTTGGCCTCTAAAACCGTTTGACAGTCACCTCCATTGGACATTGCATCTGGACCTCGTCCAGTATAGCCCATAAATAGCTAGAACTAGAAAAATCTGAAAACAGCAAGTTCTGTCGTTTAGATCTTTTACTTGCAGGTTCCCAAAAGAGTAGAGCCTGCATCTTTTCATAATAGCTCGAACATCAGCAAAATCTACATTAACCAAACCCGGCACCTATGGAAGCAAAAAAACGTCACCATTCAAGGAGAGGAAAAGGCAAAAACACTGCTGAGTATGATTGAGAAAGGAAAGGAATAAAAGACAGGAGACGGGCCTAGAGACACGGGATAAACCCAAAAAACCTTAAAATACAAGGATTTTAAGATACAAGGGTGGATGGAGTAGATATTGCCCCACAAGTGAAGGTTTCAGGTTCAAATCCCCCGCTAGAGAATTATAAATTGGGTGGGGAAAAAAAAAAGTATGGCTCATTAAAAATTTAGGATGGATAAAGGGTTTGTTCGGTGTTGTCTTTCAGTCTAAGTTTAAATTCGAGCTTCCATTAGATGAATGTTTCAAAGGATGGATAAAGGGTTTGTTCGGTGTTGTTCGAGCTTCCATTAGATGAATGTTTCACACAAACATGATCAGATTCGTTTACAAAATTCTTTCCAGGAAAATCACAACGACAGGTTTGCAATTTTCTTACTAATGAGATGATACGGATTTTAGATTACAACTGAAATTTTAAGAAATCCTGAGGAAACGTGTAGTGATATGGGAGAATATGGAATGCCATAGAGGATGGATTGGTCTTGGCATTCATTGGGTTTTTCAAACCGTGCTCTGCCCCCAAACCCTGAAAAAGGTGTCAAGGGTGATTTTTTTGCTAGGTAAAAAAATGTGTGTGTGTGTGTGTGTGTGTTATCCTAACAGGAAGTGTTTGTAATGGATCGTAAGTTGAGTTAGCTTGAAGATTTTGTGGAGGATGATGAGACCAAGATGGACTAGAATCTTCAACGAGTGGACGAGGCTGCCTCAGAGCTAGTGCGTTGTTTTTCTGGAGGAAAGTTTAACTTTATGATTTCAAAAAGACTACAAGCACATATTCGAAAGACCAGTTTTGACATTTAGCCTTCGCATCTTGATCACCGAAATCTCTTTGCGTTCCCCTGACATCTTCAGAGGCTGAGCAGGAGACAGAACCGGTGAGGCACCATTTCCTTTTTTGTTTCTCGTGATCTCTGAGAATCTCATTGTAATCTAAATCTAAACGAATTTTCCTTGAAAGAATTTTGTAAATGAATCTATCCTTCTTGGATTGTTTAAAAAATTCATCTGATGGGAACTCAGGATTGAAATATCCATGGATAAATACATCAAGCTCGAATCGAAAGACAACACAGAACACCCATTTGTCCATCCAAAATTCTAACGAGCCATACTATTTCTTTAAAAGAAAAATCCCATTTTTACTGCCAAAGTCCTTTTATCTATTTGGTTGATTGGATTCCTCGTGCCTGGATAACGCTTGAGTGACATGTCTGGGCTACGTTTGAACAGTGATTTTCAAAATATATTCGAATTAGAGTTTCATGTATTTTTTAAAACAATCCAGAAATGATTAATTTAATGGTTTCTTATAAACATAATTTTATAAAAAATCTTCTAATGGGAACTCAAAGTTGAAACATCTTGGAAATATTCGACTGCTGTAATTATTTTTTGTTGAAATCCTGTGTTGGTGAACTATGATTAGGCCTCGATTTAACACTTGATAGTGAAGCAAAAATGATCCGGCACCTTTTTTCAAGAAACTTGCATCGCAAACAAGGTTTGGCCCTTCAATTATCATATGAATGCTTGACATCTCAGTGCCTTCAATCCAACATTAGTTGAAAATCATGAAGAAAAAAGAAAAAAGGGGAAAGCGACTCGTCTTCTTTTATATTCCTTTCTTTTCCATTAACTTTTGCATGTGGCAGTCGCTCCTTCAAATGGACAAATCAACATTCACTCTCTATCATAGTCTGTTGTACATCATGATAGTGACAAAATATTATGTATTAATAAAAATCATGCTCGTAGGTAATGAGTATCTTCAATCTTTCCTTTTTTATTTCTGGAAAAAGTCTGGTCATTATTTGTAGCCCTTCAAGATTAAGCCTTTCATGAACATCTCACGAAAGTGAAGAATTTAGTATAATCTCCTGGGCCATAGAAAATGGCCACAGATATCTTTTCAGTGTAATTCTAATGGGGAATAGCAAAAAGCCTCTTTCCAATCCAGCTTTAAAACTAATGGAGAGTTCAGTATTTTCCTCCTTTTTTTTTTTCTTTTTTTTTCTTTTTTTTAAGAAGCACTATGTTCCTAGAGGACAACATCAGCCATCAAACGATGTCTTGAGATCTGGTTTCAGGTAGTTGGTACTCTGACAAGTGTGGTTACTCTGTTTTTAAGGTAAAGAATCATTATTAAAACTTCTTTTTTCATTTTGAAGCCATCGCATCCAATTCAGTGAGGATTTATTTTTTTTATCGAAATTCGATGAAAAGCACATGATTCCATCGTGGAATGTGTATGGATTAGATCTCTGTCAACAGAATTTTATCTAGAGTTAAAATATCCATGCAAGACTTGAAAATCAATAAAATATTTCCACTTTCGCACCTGAGATGTGATTTTGAAGAAACAGATGTTTAAACCGTCAGGACAACTCTTTCCATGTCCAAACCATCTCGTGGTTCTTCATACCAGTGAAGTTAAAGTCTCACGTCATCACATTGCAATACAATGTGAGTGTCATTTATGACAATGTTATGAAACCTAGCACTGTCCCGTGAATCAATTCAAAGGCTTGTTAATACGGGACTAAACTCAAGTCGAGCGTATCAATTTATTTTTCGATTTATATCAGTCGACAAAAGTTAAATTAATTTAATCTATATATTATATTTTAAAATGTATAAGAAAAACACCATAGAGATATTATGGATATAAATTTGTTATATGGTAAATTATAATGTAGATATTAAGTGTTTATACTGTGAACAATATTATAACACTATCGAGCATTATCTTTTTTATTCTTTAGTTAAAAAATGTTACTAAATTTAGCTTTGCTATTAGATCCACTACTACTGGATCTGGTTTTGCATACATAAAAAAATACATTATAAAA